AATAACATTCCCGTGGTTCTACCGAGTTTCCCAATCTAAATTTGAGGAAAATTGTAAATTAATTACTGATTTTTAAAGATTTAATATTTATATAACTAACATACGAAAAGATCACTTTAATCCAAATACGATTTTCTTATCCCTTTATAATTGCAACCTGATGGTGTAAACCATTGATATTTTACGCTTTTATAGTATTTGAATACATGATTTGAAATATCAAAGGTTTACAAAATCAGATTCAAAAGTTTAAAGCATGTTTTTATTTTGATACAAAATATTGATCATTTCAATCGCTTTCATCTTTTAGCACAAAACACAATTATATTGGATTACATAATAAAGGAAATTAAGTCATGATTTGGATTAATATTAATATATTAAGGTTCTACTATCAACAACTCCAAAACTTTACCCATCCCTGAAATTGTTGTATTTTGAAAACCGTAAGAAATAAATTTCGTTATGATAAAAAAATCCTTTTTTTCATTTGTTGTAAACATTTTTTATTGTATAGTTTATTTTAGTTGATTGATTGCAATTCAAAATGTTGATAATGAACACCGCAAAAATGTCGATAAAATTGTTTCAAGCAACGTTAATCAATTTTGCTAAAGTCTATTTTACATCTAAGATAGTAGACAGACTGTGCTATTAAAGAATATAAGGGCCGGGTTTTAAGTTTAAACTCTTTTCAAATGTGTTTTTTTATGTTAAGGTCTTTCCAAAAATGTATTTAATGATTAATGATTGGTAGCACAAAATTGATTTAGAGATTTTAGGAAACTGTTAACCTCCAACCCTTCAACGGTCTTCAGCCTTCACAGTTTTATAAATCCCAGTTGGTGCTGCTCTGTTTTATAAGTCCCAGTTAGTGCTGTTCATAAGTTTTATATGTCCCAGTTAGTGTTGTTTGTCAGTTTGGTTATTTTTTCTTAAGACTTTTTAAAAACTTTAAAACTCAATTCTGTAAAAGTTAGCTTTTATTAAACTTTCCAATTTTTTATCCTAAAAAATGGAAAACTCAGTCTTTCGTTTTTTTTGAAAACAAATTTTGCCCCTTAAAGCAAATAAATGAAAAAACGACTAACTATACATGCAAATCATTAGGCCAAGTGCACTCTCTACATTGTACAAGAGTACAAAACCCATGGTTTCTTGAATTCAAATTGTGAAATACTGAAACGTTTAGAATTCAGGATGTATAGATGTTGGAGTGTGCGAGTTCATATTTAAATATTCATGCATGAATAATTTATGTAAAGCTTCACCCTTCTGCACAAACTTAAATTCTTAAACTTTGAAAATCATTTCACATCAAAGTTTAATTTTTTGTTTGTATTCATGAATCTTTCAGGCTGAGTCAAAAAAATTGTAAAAAATATCGGATTGATTAAGAACAGAAGAAAATCACCAAAGGAGTTGAGTTTTTGCCACAAAGTCTGATTTTCTAATCTCTTTATCTTTGTAACCCAATGTTGTAGACCTTAAATATATTTCAAACTTTTAATACTTATAGATAAAATAATCTAAGTTTCAATATCAAAGGTTTGCACAATAAGGTTGCATAGATATTGGAAACAGAAGATTTTAATTTGTGGCAAAAACCCAATTCCTTTGTATTTAGTAAATACAATCAAAGAGTTGTTGACCTTTAAAAAGGTCAGAATATATACAAATAAAGAAATCAGGAAAAACACAAATATTCTATAACATTTATTTAAGAAAAATAAAATTGTTTTGAAATATTTGCACATGGCGAAGGTTAAAATTGGTTGATTTAGAAATTAACAAAAAGGAATTAATGATGGATATTAGATGGTGCTTCAAGGGAGTGTTGTAGAGCTTCATGTTGGTGGAGCAGATCCGGGAACTGGGACAACAGGGTTTATCAATGTATCAGAGGCAAGGCAACTCGAGATAGCGGAAACTTCGGACAAAGCTCGACAAGTTTCCTAAGTAAGCTTCTCAAGAAGTTAATAGGGAGATCAGAAGTATAAGCATGCCTGCTGTTAGTTCAGTATCTGCATCATCAGCACGAAGGAGTCAGGGGGGTGATGTAGAGCTTCATGTTGGTGGGGCAGATCTACAGGTGCGTTGCGCTGAGTATCTGCATCATCATCATGGAGGAGCCAGGGTAGAGATGGAGTTGTGAATATGAGTGTTCGTAACTGACTGCCGGTTGAAGCGGGGATCTAAGGTGAGCGGGGATTTGACACATGTGGTGTGCTTGCTTCCTGTGTACACAAACATTGAGAATTAACGTCGGCATTTGAGTCGGAAAAATCGTCTTCCTTATATTTCGAATTTATTTTAACAAGAGTGTTGTAGTATAAAGAGTAGGCATTGGGGTTTATACGAAGCCAAAGAATATCGTCTTTTCTATAATTTAAAAAGATTTTAGGACTTTTTAAACATTTACATCACCAAAAACTTGCGTTTTTTACATAATTTGCCGTTAGAAATGCATAACTTTATTATCTTTTTTAAAACAGACTGCAATGAAATGGTTTTAAAAATTTGGCTACCGTCTTTGAATACAACATTTTATTTTTGCAGTGATTTATGCAAAAGAAACAATTAAGAAAATCGGCAAAATTTTCTTTTAGAATGATGAAAAGAAACAACATTTTCCACTTTTCTACTGTATAAAGGTTATGCTTAAATGTCCCTTCTAATCAAAGTACTTATGAAAAAATAATAAAAACTGTTTTAAAACAAAAAGCGTGAGAAGAACTCATGCAGAGAATAAAGGGACTGTAAGCGTAAGTATGAATTAGAAATAAATTATGAACAATTTTAACTAAAAACAAATAATTTTTAATCATGGTTTCTTAAACATAAGTTGCTTGCGCATTTCTACTGCAGGAAAACACATAAACACCTTTAACACATTATTGATCAGCTAAAGGTATTGAGATACTTCGCTTGCAGCGCCTTAAAGTAAAACCAGAAGGAGAACGCTGTATAGACAACCAATCTCATGTACGAGTATTCCATGAACGTGTTGAGATCAGTCAAATTTTTATTATTTTATTCGAATTTAAAAAAACAAAATTTTGGCTTATGTCACCCCTACGGCAAAGCCACTACAGGGGTTCCGGAGCCTCCTAAAAGCTATAGAAAAATTTGTAAACCTCAAAAAGCGAGGCTTAACACATTTCATCTAATTCTTAAAATGACTGTAGTGATTTCTTGTCACTCTCCATTAATAGACTGGCATGTCTCATTCACAATGGTATCCTTAAAATATTTTTCTGAAACATTCATCATCTTCTCTTTAAAAATTTCAATTTTTTTATAAAAGTGACTTGCGCATTTCTACATTGATGATTTTCAGGATTAAACACATACTTCAAGTGAAGGTTATGTGACTTGAAAATACAACGTCAGTCCATCTATACCAATATATATATATAAATATATATATATCCATCTATACCAATATATATATATATATATATATCCATCTATACCAATATGTTTCGTAGATCAACTTTTGTAGGTCATGGACAAATCTTAAGTTAATTTATTTGTGTTTTAAACCTACCTGGGGATACAAGTACAGAGGGTTGGAATGGAAAGTACGGAGTGTACTGCGCAAACCTGGGGTAGTTACCCTGAAATATAAAACATTGAATACAAGTACACAGGTTGAGATGGAAAGTACAGAGTGTACTGCGCAAACCTGGGGTAGTTACACTGAAATATAGAACATTGAATATAAGTACACAGGTTGAGATGGAAAGAAAAGTGTGTACTGCGCAAACCTGGGGTAGTTACCCTGAAATATAGAACATTGAATACGAGGATGATACAGTGAAAAACAAATACACATAAGATTGCTTAAAGGTCGTCTTCCTAGTTTTATAATTTCCACTGTACAAGTACACACCAGGTGCCCCAATATCTTTGTACGGTCTTCCTGTGATGAATGTAAAAACAGAGCCGGAAATTTAAAAGAGTATCGTTGAACGAAACTCCTGAATTTCCTGTTTGGGGTGTATATATTTGCGTAGATTTTAATTTAAGAAATCAGAAAACAAAAAGAGAATGAAAAGATACCACATGAAATAATTTTCTTTACAAAATATTGAAATCTACAAAACTGTTCAACCCCAATCATAAAACCGGGTTTCCGATACTGGGTTTTATGTTTTGGGCTCAGTGCTGCTTTTGCTTATCTGGCTTAATGTCTGCTATGCATTTATTTTTCTTGATTGAATACAAGTAGATATAACTATAAGGTTAAAAGATTATACAGGGAGTCTCAATAAGCATGGAAATTCAGTGACGACTTATATATTGTCTTAAATCTTAGTGGCATATTTTCATGAACACTATTATTGCAGTATTCCAGCTTAAACAAAATGTGTTCTACCATTTTTGTATCTTAAAAATTGACAGAGATATTGCAAAGTTTGTTCAAATTTCAATTTATTAAATAAATAAAATATATGTATACCACTTTATGAAAAGCTCCAGCAGACGTACAACCTTGTTATTTTACTTTTTTGCCATAAAGACTACTTTCAAGTCGATTCTCAATTTGCATGTGTATTGGTTCACCCTGTAGAAAATAGAAGAATACAAGAATCAAATGCTACAAAATTGTTTTCGACATATCAAAAAGACCTCATACAGTTCAGTAGATCGAAAACTATTTTATATTTCAAACATGCATGACATTATTCTAGTCTTTCCTGGGGTCCAAATTTTATGAATTTAAACTGTCTACTTCAGGTTCAAATTATATTCACAGATTCAACCCTTTCATTAATCTAATTAACTTTGAATCGGTGGTTCAAAATAATATCAGCGACGTAGCTCAAATTCATTTATTTCGGCCCCTGAATTACAACTGTTTTTCTGGTTTATTAAACACAGGGGAGACGGTAGACCTTGTAAAGTTTTCAAGAATTTTAACTTTTCAAGAAAATCAGAAACTAACAGACTATAAATTCTCTTAACTTTCTCTTAGAATTAAAAGTAAGGATTTAATATTTTCTCAAGGACAATATAGCTCGCGGTGCAATTAGGTCTTAAGAAATTATTCATTAATGTAAACATAAAACAAGAAAACACAGAAAAGTACACTAATTTCACTGCGAAGACTTAATAACTATTTATAACACTATTATTTTGGTTCGCAGTGTTACAAAGTTTTTGGACAGAAATTTTCTCTTTTTCGAGAAGGTTCAAGCCTTTCCAGATTTAATTTTGTCCCGAGCTTTCGCGAGGGATAAAATATAATCTAAAAAACGAAAACCTTCGAAAATATTAGTCAACAAATTTTAAAGCACGTCGTGCAAAAATGAAAGGTAATTTTATGAAACGTTTGTGTACTTGTCTTATTTCAATGGCTATTTCTTAAGATCAAATCTTTGAAACAAAGCAGAAGTCAAAATATAAAGTTGATTTCAATTTTATTTTCATTTCAATTGAAAAAATATTTTGGAAATATCTTAAACTTTTTGGAAAAACTTCGGGAACGAATCAAAACCTTTTACCACACGTGCTATAATGTAAAGCAATACTATTTTAAACTTAGATTATTTGATCTAACAGAATTCATAGTTTGACACAAAGAGAATAGAATATATATTGGAGAAGAATTTACTAGAAAAGTGTAAAACGGCCATTTTGTTGTACTGTTTCCATTCTGCAAGTGTACTTCACATATTTTTGCTATATAACCTTTTGGGCCCTGGAACATCATTTAATAGAAAATTTAAAATTAATATTAAAAGAAAACAAAATTATGAAATAGGCTGGTTTCATAATTGACCAATGACCATTTCACATAGACTCTATGCCTTTCACTTTACAAACGATGATTTTCCGTTATAACTATAAATCACATGATGTTTTTTATTCACCTAATTCATTTTATAAAGTTTATTTAACAGCTTTAAAAAAATCGAAATTGAAATGAATAGTCTAGGAAACATACTGTATTAATGTACTCTACTGCATATAATTTGTGAACATTTACATGATTTGTACACTTTGAAATCCCTTTCAGGCTGAAAGGAACTGAAAAAATGCATACCGAGGGATTGTCTAAATTCCACTCTATAATATATATTCTATTCTCTTCGGTTTGACATATAAAAGGTCTGCAATATTAGCCTGCAAAGATATATGGGTTAGAGTTTGTGGCAAAAACTCAATTCTAAATATATTCTCCTGTGTCACTTATTGTACTTTATAATCTATTTGATAAAAAATAATAAAAATACCTCGAGAACATTTAAAGCTGTTCTATGATGTGCCAGTGCCGTGGGGGTAAAGTAGCTGAATGGTGAGGCACCAGGGGTATAGGCAAATAGAGGCGAAGGGGCGTAGGCAACTGGTGTTCTAGGGGCGTAGGCGAAGCTGGAGGTAGGGGCGTAGGCAATCTGAGGAGAATAGTACTGAGGGGCTCCAAGATATGATACCTGGGGGTCACAGAGTACACCGCCCAGAACAAAGATGGCGACCAATGACTAAACAAATTTTAGATTTGTGATAATTTTGAGGATTTAGTACAGAGCAGAAAGGAAACAAATTGCAATATAGTTTAAGAAAGGAACTATGCCGTTCAAATTTGAAATTTCAAGTAGCTAGCTTGAAAAGTGTTTTAGTCTGACAATTTTCTCCATATTGCTTTTGAAGCAGAATACAAAGGGGAATGATATATATTTTGGAGAAAAAACTCACCGGGAGCGGTTGTATGAGCGGTTGAGATCTAGACTAGACAATATGCAGTCTAGAATAAGGAATGCACCTATTTTCAACCGCTAAAATTGTACTTTGTTGTACATTATTAACAATTTATGTTGCAGACCTATGAGGCTATACACAAAGACATTATTCATTGAAACTGTGTTTCAATTGAATACATAGTATGCTGCATGATTAGAGAAATAAACTGCGTTAATCTATTCTTGCTAATCTTATAAATAAGTACATTAAACTTTAACTATGCAGTAAATACTTAATATGTCTTAATCATGTGATATATAGATAACTACATATGAATTGTAATTATGTCAATTCACGTTAACTTGTGGCATAAGATATTTAAATAAAGTCAGTTTATAGATTAACTCCGTATTGTTTACTGCGAGAGAGTAAGCCTGACACCCTCTTTCTTATAAGCAGGTAGGATTGATCTCGTTAATTTGGTATCAATATCTATAGCTTGTTGATAGCTGGGCTTGTGTCCGCTGTGTGGCATTTAGAGCGGATTGTCCCCATCATTTTGGATCAACATATAGCTAGGCTTGTGTCCATGTGTGGCATTTAGAGCACTGAACTAATAGCTTGTTGGATAGCTATATGTCACATCAAACTAAAGTAAAATGCAATGATTAAAATGTTATATGTTCTCCATCATAACTCCTCTTATTGAAGAGTTATTTAGAAGAACAAAAATGTTTTGAATTCATGATATGTAATCAAGTAAATTCGCATTTCTTACACTTGTACTTAAAATCCGAACCAGAGGAGCTACGGAGTCACAAAGTCGTAACAGCAATGTCAATTCAATTTGACCTTTGCCTCCTGGTTAGTTTGCTGTGATGTGTGTCCCTGTGTGGTATTTAGAGCCAGGTGGAGTGTGTCCAGAGATGAGATTTTAAAAGCTTAAACCCAACTAAAACCCAAAATCGGGCTTAGATAGAACTCAAGTCAGGATTGGTTCTGATTCGACCAATGAGAGACTGTTTTGCAAGCTTTCTCTCTGTAGCAAACGGAATGCCGTCAGATCAGCTGTGACAAGGAGATGTAAATTTTGATGATTCAAAATTTATGTAGATACATTATTTTCATAGTATGTTTATTCTATATAATTAATAAAATTTGACATCAAAAATAATTCCCAAGATTTGAAATGTACAAATATAAAAGATTTTACGACGGCTTGTACCTGGATAGATACATTTTGAGAACTTGTTATGGAGTAGGTGTTTACTACATGCTAGGGAATACAGGGGGCCGGAGGGGTAATGAAATGGCTACGAAATAAAATAACATGAGCATAATATATTAAACAGTAGTATGCAAGTAGTAAATAGTAAAGGGGGGAGGGTGTTTTATAAGGAAAAATGCAGGCCTGTGGTTTAGGACTTAGATCCTGTTATGCTGTGAAATACACCGAGGAATAGGAATGAGAGGATTTGAATGTACCTCAGCAAAATATGATTAGTTACAAATACAACATTTGGATTTAAATCTACTTTGCAACTCATACTTCCAGTCATTGGATTACAACATTATAACATTTTACAAAAATAACCAGAGTGCACAATTTTTGCGAAAACATTTTGCACACGTTTTTGCACAGATGCCTTAAAGAGAATTTGCACATTTTCAGTTTTCCTGGAATACACATTTAGTTGATGAAAATTTAGAAAATGTGTTTGCATATTTGAATTTGCTGGGGCTTTTCAATAGTGCATAATTATTCATAGATTTGGCACTTCTTTTGTACTCTTTTTTGCAATAAATATTTGAAATTTTGCAAATTTTGTTGCAGATTATTGAAATAGAGCCCAAAGGCTTTCTTAAAAATGTATCAAATGTTATAGAGGGGGGGTGGGTGTCCCAACTAATATTTTGGGTAAAGGACAGGAGTCCTCAGCCTGAACAAGGTAAGGAATGAAAGTTTTACTTTAGTCGGAAAGACTAAGACACAAAGGACATCAGGGAGCAATCCTTTATACCCTTCCTCCTACAGACCTCCTTATCTCTCTCCTATCTGCTCAACAACTCGATGTCAAAAGAACTATTTTGAAGAGGCCTCAAAATGTAGAAACAAGAAACAAGGAGCAAGAAGAAAAAAGAAATTGAACAGGAAAATTTGGAAGGGAAATCTCTTGATACTAGAGATGGAGGCTTGGAAGATGCCCCCCCCCCGCCAGGCAGGGGGGAAATGGGGAACCATAATGTTGTAGTATCACAGTAAACACATTGAGCACCGAGACGGAGATATAAGGAAGTTTATTCAGATTTCAGTTTTTAAAAATCAACAAAACTGTTCAAATGTTTAATATCTCTGTCAATTTTAAAGATACAAAGAAGGTAGACCACATTCTAGAAAGCTCAATAAAGTGTTAATCTTTTTTGTTGAACTTTTTGTATTTTATCCGCTATCAGAAATCAAAGACGATATTCAAGTCGTCTCTCAATTCCCATGTTTATTGGGACACTCTGTATGACTTGAAATTTGACAAGGGGCAACGAACTTTTTATCTCGCGCATTTTTAACCGCAAACACAAACAATCGAAACAATCGGGATCGAATATGACCTATATGTAATCAAATAAATGTTTATTGGGTCAGTAAAAAAAATAGATTTGCGTCGATATTATTCACAACAATATTTTTTTAAGCTGGAGGTTCATGCTTAAGTAAAAATAACTAGATATATTGTGGCAATATTGTAACAAAAATTATTAGGAAGCTAGACAAATTAAAATTCTCAAAACTGATTTTTTTTAAATATTTTTTTTTAGAAATCAAATGAAACATGTTTTGATTAAAAGTTTTATGCAGATTTGTACTGATGATTTTTGCGGATTTTTTGGTAAAAACAGATTTATTGATCAACAGTTATTTAAGATGTTGGAAAAAAATTGGAAAAAAATATATAATCTATTTCTGAAGAAAAATCAGTTTATAACAAAAAAAAACAGTTTTCAAATTTCGTTCTTTCGACCCATCTTGTATAGTCGTAGATTAAATTAAAGTTTTAATCTAGTGTGGATCAAATTGAATCATGAAGGGAAAAATAAATAAAATACAATGACAAGTCTCATTGTAAAAATATGCTCCTCTTAAACATTTAGCATTTTTGCATTTTAAAATGGGATTCCCGAGTGAATGTAATCAATAGTCATCCTTTGCAAACATTCTCGAGGAATTTCAGGCATTTCCCGTTTCAATTCTAAAGTTAATTCTGTACCCCTCCTTTCACACAAAAAGGGCCTTTGAGTATGAGTGTCAAATGCATGTTAAAGGATGATTTTGTTGGATTTTTAATTATTGAAAAAAAAATGCTGGAAAGAGTTTAGTTCAAACAAATCTTCAAAAGGTGAAAAAAAAAATGTTAAAGTCTTAACATTATTTGCTTAGGACACATGATTTCTGTAAACATTTTTCCAATATCTATAATATTAACTATGAATTAGATCAAAAATCTAAGTTTACACCCTTAGGGAATAGAAAATTTGACATGTCCTTTTTCTTATAAGTCAAAAAAGTTTTAAGGTGATGGTAAAGAGGAAAAACTACAGGGGGTCGCCGAATGCACCCCCCCTTCTCCCTCTAGCCTTTATACACCAATGCTCTATATATATTATCTAAATATGAAAATTTACCAGGATCTCATGTTTAGAAGAACAAAAAATGTAGAAAACGAATGAATAGTACTCTAAGTTCTAGAGAACCATGATGTGAATACTGTTAAGCTTAACAACCGACAACGGAGATTTTATTTTTGAAGGATTACATTTTCCCCTGGGGGTAGGTGTGGGCGGATATTTGGTCAAGCGATGTAATTTTTAAAAGAATTTAGAAATTCAAGATTTTCCATCACTAAGTTGCCTTTACCAAGTCTTCACTTTTGAAATTTTGTTGTTAAGTACTTTCCCAAATTATTTTAGGTACTTTCCCAAATTATGCCAGGTACTTTCCCAAATTATTTTAGGTGCTTTCCCAAATTATGCTAGAAACGTTCCCAAATTATGTTAGGTACTTTCCCAAATTATTTTAGGTACTTTCCCAAATTATGTAAGGTGCTTTCTAAAATATTTTAGGTAATTTCCCAAATTATGTTAGGTACTTTCGCAAATTATGCTAGGTGTTTTCCCAAATAATTTAGGTACTTTCCCAAATTATGTTAGGTACTTTCCCAAATCATGATAGGTGCTTTCCCAATTATGTTAGGTACTTTCCCAAATTATGTTAGGTACTTACATGTTAGGTTTCCACAAAGGAAATTGTCCTATGGAAAGTCGCTCCTGGGTAAATACCTAACCTAACCTAACCTTTCATATGTAAAGAAGACTTAATATCTACTATGACGTAAATTAAGAATATGGTCAACGCCTAATAATTATGACCGCGTACACCTGGTACGATTTTTCAAATTGAAAATCCAGACAAAGCATTCTGAATTGTTACACTGCAAACTGAACTAAAGCAGAATATCAAATTTATGCAACATTACTGCTACGACTTTGTGACCTCGTAGCTCCTCTAGTTTTGATTTTACGCATAAGTATGAAAATGAAACTTATTTTGTTTCATATTAGAAATTTTAAACATGCTTGTTATTCTTGGTAGTTCTCTATTAAAAAGATTCATGATGAACCTTGAACATATAAGATTTCAATTTTACGCGGAATATACTTTAGTTTAACGTGGTTAAAATAAATATACTTTAGTCTAACGTGGTTTAGTCCGGGGGACAAACTATGACTGGATTTTCATAATTATTGAAACCAGTTTTTAAATAGATTAACCGAATAAAGTCAAATTAGCTAAAACTATGAAAGAATTTCTCCAGAGGCCGTATTTAAATAATTTGAGCCGCGGCTTAAATTTAAGCCGTAGCTCAAATATGGTTGAACCCCTTTACATTGTATTAAATTATTAGGTACTTTCCCAAATTATGTTAGGTACTTTCCCAAATTATGTTAGTTGCTTTCCCAAATTATGTTAGGTACTTTCCCAAATTATGTTAGGTACTTACATGTTAGGTTTCCACAAAGGAAATTGTCTTTTGGAAAGTCGCCCCTGGGTAAATACCTAACACCATTAAAAGCCTTTGATGGTAACTTTTTAACAATGAAACCTTTCATAAGTAAAGAAGACTTAATATCTACTATGACGTAAATTAAGAATATGGTCAACGCCTAATAATTATGACCGCGTACACCTGGTACGATTTTTCATATTGAAAATCCAGACAAAGCATTCTGAATTGTTACACTGCAAACTGAACTAAAGCAGAATATTAAATTAAGCAACATTACTGCTACGACTTTGTGACCTTGTAGCTCCTCTAGTTTTGAGCTTAGGCATAAGTATGAAAAGCAAACTTATTTTGTTTCATATTAGACATTTAAAACATGTTTGTTATTCTCAATAGTTCTCTATTAAAAAGATTCATGATGAACCATGAACATATAAGATTTCAACTTTACGTGGAATATACTTTAGTTTAATGTGGTTAAAATAAATATACTTTAGTCTAACGTGGTTTAGCCCGGGGGACAAACTATGACAGGATTTTTATAATTGTTGAAACCAGTTTTTAAATAGATGAACTGAATACAGTCAAATTAACTAAAATCATGAAAGGATTGCTTCAGAGGCTGAATTTAAATAATTTGAGCCGCGGCATAAATTTAAGCCGTCGCTCAAATATGGTTTGTTCCCCTTTACATTGTATTAATTTTTTTTTAAATTCAAGCCGGCGTTCAATTGAAAACGGTTTTTGGCAGATACAAGCCGTGGCTCAAATTCATTAAATTCAGACACATTATAGATACATTATAGACACATTATAGATACATTATAGATAACTTGGAGAAGATCGTTTAAGAGAAATAAGGTTTTAAAACTGAACCAAATGCAAAATAATTTGAACCTATATATGTATATCTATATATAGATTTGGCTTGTCTGTCTGTCTGTTTGTTTGTATCCAATAAACGTCAAAACGGCTGAACCTATCGGGCACACATTTTTTGTGGGACATCACGTGACCACAGGGAAGACGCGAAGCGCCCTCTAAGGCTAGAAAGAAGGGCGCGAAGCGCCTTGAATTTCTAGTATATATAAATTTGGCTTGTCTGTCTGTCTGTTTGTTTGTATCCAATAAACGTACGTCAAAACAGCTGAACCGATCGGGCCCAAATTTTTTGTGGGACATCACGTGACCACAGGGAAGCTTTATGAATGATAAAAAATTTTTAAAAATGTGTTTTAAAAGTTTTTAATTTTGTAAAAAAAAATTAAATTCTTGAAAATCCGCGAATTTTTTTTTTTATCCGCAAAATAGTTTTCTTCTTTATTTTAAAATGTAAACAAAAAGAACATGTTCAAAATTTAAATATAAGATAGGCGCGACGCGCCTTAAAAGCCTAGTATATATGTAAAATATTAATCTCTGTTTGAATATCTGATCATTATTCATGACCTTGACCGATTTGCCTCAGATTTTGTTAGAATCACGGGAATTGTCTTAGTTTGGTTTCAAATTTTATTAGGTTGACTTTTATAGGGAAAGTTTAAGTTCCATGTAAAGCTGGGTTCCCGAGCAAGTTTATCATAGACCAGTGATATTACAATAGCTATGCACACTTTTTTAAATAAAGTACAATTTACGAGAATCCATTCGACCAGAAAGGGATTTTATTGCAAATAGAGGCAAAGGCACTTAAATTTTCTAATCCCTCTGACTCTGTCTAATTGATTGGACCTGATTTATTGTTTGAAATATCAAAGGTGAGTAAACGACATTGGATTGAAAAGAAAAATCCGAGTTTGGGTCAACTCAGTTCCTTTACCAAAAGGCTGATCAAAACAAAACAAACGTGAATAAATCATAAATGGATCGCTTTAACCAAAATAAAGTAATTTCATGAGACCCACCATACAAAGACACTACCCTTGCTATCTTCCTCTCGTCAATAATGTGGAAGAAAGTATAGCTTTCCTAGGTTTAAAAGTGTTTAATTCACTTTTGTGGAAAACCTCGCCAGAAAATAAGGTGAAATACCATAACCTCAAAAACTAAGTAAAAAAACTTTACTATAAAGTAATTCTTACAAAACAATTCGAATTTATCAAGTTTAAAAAGTATGTTTTTTTTGTGAAATTCCACATGCAGTCTCCATTGTACTGAAGATTTCTTAACATATAGATTTACCCTGAATATAAAGAGTCTCAATTTTTAAGACAGGATCGACTTTGAAGTGTCGCAACGCTTTGGGCTTTGATTTGACCGCTCTAACTCACTTATGCTTTTCTAGCCCTTTACATGGTTTTAGCAATAGAAAGCATTTGTTCTTAGCTTTGGTTTTAAAAGGTTTTTTTTGCAAAATTCTCATAGATTTTTGCTTGAGAGCTTGATACCTTTAAAGGGACAGACCGGCTATGTAAGGTAGTTGAACTGAGTATGCAGTGAATTGTGGACAAATTCTTTAGGATTCATTTGAGACATAAAAACGTTTTAAAGATCTGTAAATCCTGTGTTTGAGCGCATGTTAGGGGGTGCAAATATGATAATTGGAAAAACTAGTTTTTAAAGCTAAGCCAAAAAAATGTGTTTACAATGTTAATTAAATAAAACTAAAAAAAGTGATCTCGATCGAAAAATATAGGTTTTGCAAAGAAATAAAGATGATNCCCCCCCCCTGCTACCTCACGTGTTCCCCCTTTCTCCCGGATTTCCGGTGCATGTATTGTAACCGAACATTGCCGAAAAATTAGCGCTTAAACCTGAAGATTCGCGCGCAGAATAAATATTGAAGGTAAATTATTTAGGAAGATTCTGTATTTATTGATACATTTGCCTTGAACATTCCATTTTGCAATATTTAACAAAAATTTGTTCCTTTAAAATTATTCATAATTATGTCATAATTTTCGAAAAAAATAATTTATTTTTTATTTTTATTTTTTCACCTTTCCCATGTTTCTTGTTTGGTATCCCGGGCGAAACTGAACTTGGAGATTTAAACACCGGGCTTTCTTTCGAATCTATCTATATATCTATCTTTCTATCTATCTATCTATCTGTCATTCCATATTTATGACTATCTATATATTTGTCTATATATCTATATATCTATCTTTCATTATATCTTTATAACTATCTATATATTTATCTATATATCTTTCTATATATCTATCTATCTATCTATCTATCATTCTATCTTTATAACTATCTATATATCTATTTATCTATCTAACAATAAAACCGTCTGAGAATAAAGTATAAAGGTGTCTGACCATGGATAATCCAGTGATGATTTGTTTCCAAAACGGGAAACATAAAAAAGTATAATACAGAAGTGAAATTATATCTTTCACAAGGATTCCAATTTATCCTACAATATTTTGATAAAACTTTTTGTCTACGTTCCTCACAATGAAGGTACTAAATAAACTTAGTCTTAATTGGTCCTCCTATTGATAGAGTGGCATGTCTTATTCATTCAGGTACCCATAAAGGGAGTGTTTACGAAAAATGAAAGGGCATATAGGTTTACGGCGAAAAATATATGAAGTATGGAATATGCTGTGTACTGCATTCCAGGAATCCAGGGGCGCCACAGGGGTCCCCCCAGCATCGAGGTGATGAAGTTGATGAAGAGCTCGATGTTTATCTCGGACTTCTCTTCAAGGGTTCCGTCGAACTGGGAGAGGAGAAGGCTGTTGAGGTGAGAATCTAACTCTCTTCTTCATTCTCTGGGCTCTCTGGAGAGGTGCTGGAGAGGTTGGAGCCGGAGNGCAACTACATTCTCTGGACTAGGGAGATGAAGGATCTCACAGTTGAACTCAGACAGGAACGATAATCTCCTTTGCTGCATGGTGGACCAGGGCGGAGACGTTCTAAACAAAGCATATGTCAATGGTTTGTGGTCAGTGAACAGAATAAACTGTCTACCTTCTAGCATGAAGCGGAAGTGGCGGAGAGAAGAGTAGGCAGCGAACAATTCACGGTCGATGGTGGTGATCACTACTAATCTTACTTCTATCTGCTATACGCCCTATCATTTTTCGCGAACACTCCCTTTTAAAGCTTTGTCTGATCAAGTATAAATTAGATCGTGATATCCATGATTTTGTTATTTAACTGATTATTTTCAATTGTGGTTTCTCAGTAAAAGTGATTGGCGCTTGCATATCCGGCATAAAGGTACCATTGTGAATGCCTTTTTTTAAAATGGAGGAATACTTTGATCTCCTCTCATCTCCTCTCACACAGGCGCGATAAAGAGATTCCGTGTTTAGAATATTTTTTTCAATTTTCATATATAATTTTCAAATAGAATAAGTATAGATGAAATTGAAAAAAAAGAACAGATCGAAAAAACGTACTGCTTCACAAAAAATGCTTCCTCTGTATTGTTTATCCTCTATGGATGCCATATGTGAGTATATATATATATATATATATATGATTGATGAATTAAAGATTTTAGGATAATTAAACGGAATATTTTTTTTGGAGATCTTAATGGGACTGTTCATCGTTTTGGGACAATCTGATCGATAACAATACAGCCAACTAGCTTTTCACTTGTTTATAAACCTTCTGCAGCACACTAACCTCATTAAAATAGGATAATTTACTCGGTGTACTATCTCAGTTTGAAGTCTATAGTCAATACTACTGTCGAAGATAGTGTTGTTTGTTTGGTTTGACAAGTGATAATTTCTCAATTGTCTCTTTTGCAAAGAAACCACAGAAAAATTACATGGATATAATTAATTCACACTTGATCAGGCAAAGCTTTTAATCCGACCATTGTCAATCCAACATGCCCATCCATTAACGGAGGTTTACTTTAAATTGAGTTAACAGTCCCTTGATGTGGTCAAAACGTTCCATGATGAAATACCAGTTTAAAATTTAATTTAACTGTTTGATATATGGATTGCAGAAGAAACAGGTTTGTGTATTTTAACATTATATTTAAATATGAATTAATATTCACTAGCTGAAGAGCCCGGTGTTGCCCGTGGAATAAAAAAAGATATTTGAGTGTCCACAAAAATTTCAGCCCAATCGGTCCAGCCGTTTGGCCAGCTATATGCAATTTTATAGATGAAGAAAAGTGTTTTTCAGTTTTTTGAAAGGATTCTTCAGCTCTTATCTTTTCTCCACCGACGTTTTTTTTCATCCACCGAAGGCTTGATAGATCCTCCGCCTGCGGTTTATTGTTCCTCCGCTGACGGTTTATTTTTCCTTTGTCGAAAGTTTATTCTTTCTCCGCTGACGGTTTATTGTTCCGCCGTCGACGGAATATTTTTCCTCCGCCGACGGTTTATGTTTCGCCGACCGTAATGATTTCTCTTTTTTTCTCTGTTTTATGACAAAGATCTTTTTAAGCTTAAATGTTTTTATTACTCTGCAGCTTTAAAGTATTGTAATTATGATTTTGCCCTTAGAGTTGAGATAGGGGAGTGTGATACATGTCACTAGTCCAGCTTTTCAAGACCTTCTCGTTAAAAAATTAACCTCTATCATTAACTTTTTTTACTTTTAACAAATATTAGCCTTGTAGCTTAATTAATAATGACCATTCTCCATACAACTATACAACCTAACCTAAATTTGTTTACAACTATATGAAGTTAGAAGTGACGACGTTTTAGGGTTCTAATGTAAGCCAATTTTTAAGTTGGTCAGAATAAACCAGGGGTGGGTCACGGGTGACCCCTTCTGATAGAATTAATTTAGTTTGTTTGAGAAACCGAAATTAAGTAAAAAATCCCGGCAAAAATATAATGTCCCGTATTATAAAACAAGTTAGTTGCAACATTAAATAGATATTTTATATTTTTCATTTGTTTATTTTCTCCTAAACCTGGCAAACATAAACTTTTTATTTCCTGCGCCAGTTTTCATAGAAAACCTGTCAAAGTTTTAAATTGAAAAAATTTTAATTTTGAAAAAAGCTTTTAAGAAATTACTTTTTCTCGGCTTTAGCCAACTTATAATTTTTAAATGAAAAGTTGAAAGTTTTTAAGTTTTGAAATATAAACATTTTACAAACATTTTTGTTTTCGCCAAGGAAAATTATGATTTTATGTGACACAAATATGTAAAAGATATTCAAAGCTCAGATCTTTGTCTTGCTTCCAAGAAATATGTTAAACGCTTTTTTTTGGATTTTTATTAATTTTTAGTATTTCTCATGAGAAATTGCCAAGGGAAAGGTTTTAAGGTTTCAAAATTAAGAGTCAAATCAATTTTATCTGCTTAAAAAAATTGGCATAAAACAATGCAATATGGAGGATATTTTACATTATTTTATGTAGTCTTCTGATAAAAGAACAAAATTATATCTTATATGTCATTGTCATGGGTATTATTAAGTGCGAAAAAGTTTATGCCGGGATTTTAATTTTTTCTAGTTTATTCGATAAATATTTATATAAACATATATTATAGTTTTATTCAGTTTTACTCAAATTAATTAAAAGCAGGTCGATAAAGTTCATTAATCACCCTGGTGATTAAGTAACTTTATCACCCTACAAGGAGACAAATTAGGTATGAAATTGGAAATTTTAATAGCAGGGTGCAAAAGTTACTTTTTCGCCCTGTTGTTGTACGGCAATACAGTCATTTAATTACCCTACAACGGGAAATATCTACTAGCATTTTTACCTTATTTTCTAACTCAATAGAGTTTAGAGCTTATTTCACTGTAAATGTGTAAAATTACAAACTACAAAAAATCATAATAAGATAATCTATTAGATTATTCTCCAAATACTCCTTTGTCATTGTAACTAAAGCTGGACACAAGCATTTCGCAGCTTAGAAAATAATTAAGTGTTTGCCACAAACTCAAACTTTTCTAATTCCTCTGTTTTTTAATAGGTCTTCATGTAAACCATGGATATTTCAAACTTGATTATATAATCTAACAGAATTCATAGTTTGAAATATCTGATTTGTACGACATTAGGGATTAGAAAACCAGACTTTGTGGAAAGATTTTTTTCCTTTTTCCAGGCCTTCAAAAAAATAGTATTGGTGTGTGGGGGCAAAGTAAAAAAACTTCTATTAGAGTATAAGTATACATTTTCTTTATGTATTTTTACTTCTTAATTTTTAACAATCTGTTCTCATATTATAACAAAATGTTAATATATATTTCTTAAACGCGTTTGGTTATTCGTTATTACGAAATAATGTGAATTAGGGTAGCTAGGACCATTTGGCACTTTTTTGATGGTAATGTTCAGAACATTTCAGCACGTGTCTGAAAAGTTTCTAAAATAAAGAAGAAAAACCTATTTCTTTTTTATAAATATATCTATATGGGTATTAATCATCCGTCTTGAAACACTGAATTAAACAAAGTTAAAATCATAAAAATCTATTAAAAATTAAAAAAATTATAGCCAAAAAACTAGTCAAACAATTTTTGAAATTTAATAAAAAACCATGTGAGGCGGCAATATATATAGTGGTTTGAGGCGCAACTTTAGATACCAATATCGACATCATGTTTCTAAGCAATTGAAAAACGACCTTCTAAGTGATTTATGATTTTTTTAAATAAAAAGAAAATTATTTCAGAATGTTTTTTATGTAATTTAAAAAAGAAATCTTATTCGTTTTGGGTGCATATGTTCTATGGGAGATCATGTGATCATTTTGTGAAAAGTTTAGGTGGATCGGAGCATTGCAACAGGTGCAAGTCGTTTTTGGTTTTTTTATGGACTTCCGATCCCCAATTTGTTATCTAGTGAGATGGCCACAATTAGAAGCTATATTCAGCCTTTTGTATCATTTGTTAGAACCAAATGCAGCCTGTACACAATTTTGGTGTCGATTTGCCTCCCTCTCCATATTCTTAACAAAAATCGAGATTTTTTTAGAGACTTCTTGCTAAGTTCTTCAAGTTAGAGCAAGAGATTTTTTTGCATTTTAGAAGGGTTGACATCATCCATAGAACCAATGCATCTTTTGATTTTCTAACTTTTACTATTTCG